GGTTGTGATGGTGTTGGTGTCGGCGGTTTTGCAGGTGTTGCTGTTGAGATGGTTGGCGTTGCTGCTTTTGCTGGTTGTGTGGATGTTGGTATGGTGGTGGTCGGTGCTGCTACTGCAGGCTCACCGAGTTTCGCCGGCATGGCCTTGATCGGAGTCGTTGCTTTGGCTGTGTCTGCTTCTGTTGTTGCTGTCATCACTGTTGCCTGTGGTGTTAGGTATGTTGGAACTGCTGCTACAGTCGCTTCAGGTGGTGGTGCTGGTGGAAATGTTGTACTCTCAGTTGGTGTTGGCATCGATGGTTGAGATGGCTCTGATAGTGGTTGTTCTGCCTTTGGCAGTGGTGATGGCGGTGCAGGTGATGGCGTTGGTCTTGACGCTTGAGGTGGTTCTGATGATGGTTGTCCTGTCTTTGGTGGTGGTGATGGTGATGCCGGTGATGGGGTTGGTGATGGTGATACTGGAGATGGTTGTCCAGTTCTTGTTGCACTCCTGGCTGGGGCTTCTGTGGATGATCTGGCAGGTGCTTCTGCTGGGGTTTCGGGGACATCTGCATACGGATTATCACTTGGGGCTACGCCAATGGGAACATCTGGGGTTTCTTGGTACTGACGATTCATGTGGCTATATAACCCATAGACCGTTGGGGGTAAACCACCACCTCTCCTCAAAATGCTCTGGAATGAGTCAGTCCTAAACACAAGATGTCCACTGTGAGCCCTCTCAAGTGGAATATGGATCGCGTCCGAACCCCAGCTAATGGTATAGCTACCCGTGGCTGTGAGGGTGAGCATCTCCCTGCTAGGTGCCATTTCCAGCACGGCATTGTGATTGCTCATGCTCCTCAAACCAAGAAGTGCTGGGAGGTCGCGGCCCTCCCCCTCTACCATTGGGGTTTCGAAGTTGAATGATACAGATTCTCCCCTAACCAATGGACCATCACCTTCTTCCGGTTGAGATCGGGGGTGGATGATGTTGGGTATTGCTATCGGCAATGTGGCCACATGCGTACAGCTTTGAGTACCCTGTCCTACTCCCCTGACAGCCATTGGATTCGTCATGGACTTGCGCGTCGACCTCAAGCCCGCATTCCGCGCGGCTGTGGCCTGACGTTCAGCCCATTGCTGACCTGCTAGATTGGTCCATGCTCCGGGATCAACTACAATTGATTGGTGACCAGGCACTTGGGTGGATGAGTGGTAGGCGCGGCTCCAGCAGCTTCTGGAGCATCTGGCCACCATGGAAAAGTGGGGGTCCCATGTGGTGTCCTAAACTCATCATGTTGATCTGCTCTTGGAGATGTGGGTGCGATGTAGCGATAATGTGCCACTACGTGTCCCCCACCACGGCAGCATGGGCATGTTGGATTTTCTTCCCTCAAAAGAATTTCAGTCCAACAGTTTTCATGGAAGGTATGTCTGCAGGTCAATCGCACCAGTTGTTCTCCTGCATTGTATTCTTCCAAACAGATGCTGCAGCGGTGTTCATCCCCTAAGTATTCAACATTCGTGTGTTCGGCATGTGGTGTTACCATGGGTTCTGCATTATTCGAGGGCACAGCAGTGGGGGCCGGATTCACCTCACTCCTCGAACCTTCCGAGCCTCTGTTCCTCATCTCCTGCAAGGTCATCATCGTCCGGTGTTGATGATGAAGAGCACGTACCTGCGGATGGTTGAATGCTGGTTCACTGACCTGTCCGGATGTTCTAGAAGCTATTGGGACCTCACGCAGCTGGCTTGCCTGATGAAAGTCCCCCACAACTTGACTACGGATCGGGTCAAGAGTGCTGATAGCATTCTCCGAGACAATCGGATGATAGGTCGGTGCATGCACCTCCGAGGCAGTTCCCTGCAGGAAATTGAACTCGGGCATTGACGCCCATTCTGGTAATTCCGGTGCCGGATGCCGAAGGATCACCGTGGGGATCTCCCCTGGTCCCACGATCAGTGGGTGTTGCGACACTTCGTGCCGTTGGACCTGTGGTAATTGCATTGGTGGTGGTTGCATGTTTTGGGCAACATATGGTTCTTGAATAGTAGTCGATTCTGCAACAGGTTGCTGTGAAAATGGTTCATTGTTTACATTTCTGCCCTGTGGATTAGTGAGGTTATTCTGGGGAGGATTACTCATTGGATTAGTGGCTAATGGGGTGTTATGGGTGAATTGGTTCATCAGTGGCGGTCCGAATGATCGTGGTTCCGTGGTCGGATGCATCAGGCCATTCAGGCCGTTGAAGACACTCTGCATATACAGGGATTGGTCGGCCATATCCACTGTCCGGGTCGTGCGCGGCAGTGGTGGCATAGGGTTCACAATTCCCCCAACGACCTGCCTCCCTGTCCTGTTCTCGTGGTACCGCCTCCAAGGATCACTGTTGGCCCACGGGTCCTGAGGTACAGCTGGCAACGTGGATGCATTTGATGGAGGTCCACCAGAAACTGTTGACCAATGGTCAGTTCCGGATTCCTGTCCAACATTGACATCTACTTCATTAACCATGAGGACCGTGGTTGATGTGATTACTCCTGGGGGAATTTGATCGGCGGTATCCAAGTCTACAAACAGGTTCTGCGAAGTGTCACCGGCGGCAGCCCGTCTAGGGCATTTGGCGACCAGATGTTCTTCCGAACCACATTCGTGGCATTTCATCCTACGTCCATCCGGGCCTCTTGGATTGCCCTTTCTGCCTTTACCCTTACCACTCCCGGCTCCCTTCTTTCCACCTTTTGCCCTAAAGGCTGGGAAAATTTCCATGAGCTGGGATTCATTGAGTTCTGACAGATAAGATGAAGTATTGGTGATCTTGCCTTTGGGTTTTCCATATTTGGTCTTACCACCTTTTCCACCTTTGTTGATTGTTCTCCGAGCAAACCTACGTGCTTTGCGGGTCGGCTTGCCCATGAATGACCTCCAGCGTGCCTTAGCACGGGAATAGGCCCAGTAGAGTTCGGCTGCCTGTTCATTGGCCGTGGCACCCTCAGCAGCTGGCCAGGCTTCATCGCCATAGTCACTGCTGGTGTCGGTGTCAGTGCCACTGTCACTCTGCCCATCTGCCAAATACACATATGGATCATATGGCTGTGTATAAGTGGGGTATGCCTCGGATGACTGCCATTGGGATTGCCAAGAACCATGATCATGCCATGAACTACTGGGTTGGTCATATGGAGATGTGGGTACATTTTCATTCCATGAGTGATTGTCCTGAATGTGGTAACTATGTGTTGGATTTTGTCTGCCCCTCAACATATTGGACATGTTTCCTGGTGCATTTTCAATGATCCTACCCATGCGTCGAATGGCGCCTTTCAACTCCGTGAACTGCTGCTCATCAGCAGGGAGAGCACCGCCGAGTGGCTGCAAGAGTTGGATCAGTTGAGAATCCGACACACCTACTGCACGGATCAGCAACCAGGAAAGGCCAGCATAGCTCAGGGCGAGTCCACCTGTTTCCGCCGCACGCATGCGGGTAGTATCAAACCTAGTCAGCAATGTGTCAATCCGTTCATTGGATTCCCTTCCAAATGACAACAGATCTCCCACTGCCCCTAGCCGGACTTCCTCACCTAGTCTGGCAAATCGGGTGCTAAGTTGATACATCAAAAACGTGAGTGGATCGGTTTGGGTACCATTTACGGTCCCCCCTGTCAGGATGGTCTGAGGCGGAAGAGTCCTGCTGAATTCCCGGGCTGATCCCTGCAACTGGGAAATCACACTAGCCGCCTTTCGGGATGCATCCCCATCTGTAGCAATGCTCCAAATTAAGATGTCCCTTGACCAAGTACTGAAGCTATACTGATGTTCCATTTCGGGGCTCCAAGCGGGTGGCAGTCTTGGATGGCTACTCCTACCTGGCACCATACAGGCAACAAACGCACGTGTGCTAAGGCCGCCTGCAGCGGCCAGCATGAGTGTTGAGTCCGAGAGCGATCTACCATCACGGTGACCTGCGGTCATCGAGCCCGAGTTGCCATGGGTGTCAAGAGACTTCGCCATGCGACTGCCTGCTTTGGATCCGGTCATGCACTTGTTCCTGGATCTAATGGCTGCATCTTTCCCATAGATCAGCTTACAGAGTTCCTTGTGACGGGCCTTTAGATGTTTCAGCCTAGAGTCGTATATGTGCAACATCCTTTCAAGTACTGATCTCTGCTGCCGTCTAAGCCGTCTACGCAGAAGTTCTGCTCTACGCCGATCTCGAGGGTTCATTTTGAACTTCCTCCTTGAGTGGCGCAGCCGCACCAGGGTCGAATTCAGCTCCTGCCTCCAGAGATCCCCATTCACCAGGCTGGGCTTGTACTCGCCTTCGGACCTGGCCTGTACTGGGGCTTTGCGGCCATTGCTCGCTGCATGCCAGTGTGTAGTGACACTGATCGAGCCTGTCCCAACCGCACTGGACTGGATCACAAGGGCGCTGGTATTGCGATCCTTGATCACCAGCCCAGTGCTGGCTGAGACAGACCCCACCAGTGCCACTACTAACACGGCACACAACTTCAGCACGGCGGTGAACATGATGCCAATCAATGGAGGGAGAATGAAAAGAAAAATGAAACTGTCGAGTCGACCCTTAGGGTATAGCAGATACCTTAAATGGGGTTACTGCCGGGGTTCCCGGCTCCGCTACCAACTCGAAAAGTAGAGGAACTAAAGTGACAAAGAAGTACTGTTTCCGCAAATGTCTGTTTTCCTCTGACTGCTTGTGACGAGGTCTTGTGTTTACCTAGGTCGAGCTCTAGAGCCAGAACAGTTACATGGACAACAATGAACCTGAGGTATGATAGATCATGTACCTTTCAAGTCGTTGAACCATTTGTAGATGGATACACCCCCCAACAGGAGTCCAGACATGAAATAGAAAAACTCTTGCAGGAAATTAAAGATTATATTATATCTACTTTGTAATTTCCTGGGGTCCAAGTTTCTACATATTTCATCATATTTCGATATTGCCTTATGGTCATACCGGAGTCATACCATTGATTCAGCTCAAACCCCGCGCCTTTGCGCCTTTCTTTGGCTCTGGGGCTGCATCCTGAAGGGCCCAGCAATAGCAACTCTTGTGGAGGCGTTCTGTCATATCCAAACGAGACATCTGCATTGTATAAGTGTATATAGTCTTTATATATATATGTGCACATATATACATTCATTCATTTATATATATATAGTCATTTATTCATTTATTCATTTATTCATTTATTCATTTATTCATTATTTTATTCATTTATTTATTCATTTATTGGTTTGATTTGTTTTGGTTTGATTTGATTGATGTATTTATCTATCTATCTATCTATCTATCTATCTATCTATATTCATTTGCTTATTTATTCACTTCTGTATTCATTATGTAATACGAATATTATATATATATACATACATATTTCTATATATATATACCACATGATTTACATATATATATATATCATATGCATAATATCCAAGTGTTACAATTTGTTGCAATTCGCCCGGTCACCACTGCTTTGGGCCCCTCAGCCGCCCGGCCAAGGGCCGTGGAATGGTGGAGACTTCCCATTGGTCGCCATCCTGCCGGATTTCAGTTTCGACCATGGGAAATCCACTGGAAATACCCTTTAACATCCCCTTGAAATACGATTTTGATATCTGTCAAAAAATGATGTTTTTTGATGCAAAATTCAGACAAATGGGGTTACTACATGTCAGATACCCTCTTGTAAACGTTTGCATAGATGTGCAAAACCCGCCATTTGTGGATCAATTTCCTAAGTTCACCCTTGGTTTTCCACATCTACATTGGGTAATAACCTCCAGGGTAATCTCCCTCTAAGCTTTCAACTCTTCCAATGCCCCCTCATTTCCCCTGCGTTGGCTGATGCTCACGGTGCATGAGAAACCGCCTTTCGACATGGTTCATGGTGACATGGAGACCATGTGAAATATCAAATCGATTTTTTGCTGAGTTGTTCGAACGGAGTTGCGACCAACAAGACTAAGCGGATACACAAATAAATATCTCCCTTAAAAGCCAGCCTAGTATCGGATCTATTCATTTGGGACCCCTTATTGGGTGGTAGTCAACATTGCGGGGAAGGAGTTGCATGTACTTTTTGACATGCACGCACACATCACCTGCAACTGCACCCTCTGGAACTACTGATCCAAATGAACTCTCATTGCCGATCAGTAGATAGACGATCACATGACACCTCAAGAGGCTTGAATAGGAAGCTATGATAATCGCAGATAAGGCACTCAAGACTCAAGTATTAAAACCTCCAGTCAACCCTAGCTACCAACATCACTCCCTTATACATTATAGTATACGGATTATGGATGTATACGGTATATTTCTTGGCGGACCCATTTTGACCCCCTGGACTTGCTCTAGGCTGAGCCGTCTGACAGCGACAGAATGGAGCAACGGCAATCTTTGCCCAGGTCGCGCATGCGAAATGCAAACCTGTGGTGCCAAATAAAGGCCAAAGTCACTGGGATAAGATGGAAAAAACCCTACGATTTCATGGGATCTTATGGGGATGTATATACTGTATCAGAATGGATCGGAGCGGCAATTTTGGGACGGGGGTCACATTCGCCCCTACCCCAACTAGGGTATACTAGGGTCACATTCGCCCCTACCTCACAATCCTTTCCATAGAATACCTCATTCAACCTTTTAGGGTTTGACCTGGGGACATGGGTTATGGGGGGCACGGGGTCACTTGCCTTCACGTGGTTGGTACAACGTAGCATCCAGAGCGTCTTGGAAGTTGCTTATAATGGATGTTACAACATAGCATCCAGAGCGTTTGGGAAGTTGATTGAAATTGATGTTACAACAGAGCATCCAGAGCGTCTTGGAAGTGACTTCAAGTGGATGTTACAACGTAGCCTCCGGAGCGTTTGGGAAGTTGATTGAAATGGATGTTACAACAGGGCATCCAGAGCGTCTTGGAAGTGACTTCAAGTGGATGTTACAACCTAGCATCCAGAGCGTCTTGGAAGTGACTTCAAGTGGATGTTACAACGTAGCATCCAGAGCGTCTTGGAAGTGACTTCAAGTGGATGTTACAACGTAGCATCCAGAGCGTTTGGGAAGTTGATTGAAATGGATGTTACAACAGAGCATCCAGAGCGTCTTGGAAGTAACTTCAAGTGGATGTTACAACGTAGCATCCAGAGCGTCTTGGAAGTGACTTCAAGTGGATGTTACAACGTAGCATCCAGAGCGTCTTGGAAGTGACTTCAAGTGGATGTTGCAACGTAGCATCCAGAGCGTTTGGGAAGTTGATTGAAATGGATGTTACAACAGAGCATCCAGAGCGTCTTGGAAGTGACTTCAAGTGGATGTTGCAGCGTAGCATCCAGAGCGTTTGGGAAGTTGATTGAAATGGATGTTACAACAGAGCATCCAGAGCGTCTTGCAAGTGACTTCAAGTGGATGTTACAACCTAGCATCCAGAGCGTCTTGGAAGTGACTTCAAGTGGATGTTACAACGTAGCATCCAGAGCGTCTTGGAAGTGACTTCAAGTGGATGTTGCAACGTAGCATCCAGAGCGTTTGGGAAGTTGATTGAAATGGATGTTACAACGTAGCATCCAGAGCGTCTTGGGAGTTACTTGAAATGGATGTTACAACGTAACGCTTGAAAAAGACGCCGTAGCTGACTGTCACAGCTGGAAAACGATCCTTTCGAGACTCTGAAACTATAGCGCCCGCCACGCAAAACGAGGTGGGGTCACATTCGCCCCTACCCTAGGGTCACGTTCGCCCCTACCTCCACCTTGAGTAGGGCAAGTGCGACCCCACAAGAGGTAGGGGCAAATTCGACCCCCGTGCCGCAATTTTTGGTCATTTTTTGGGGTCGACATTCGACAGCAATAAAAATTCTGGCCGTTGCCCCAAGAGTTCGGCCAGCTCCCAGATGAACGTAAGACTGCCAAAGCTAGGCAGCCAACATATCTCCCAGATGGCTTCAGAACAGCCTCAAGAATGAGGCAAGACAAACGTCATGGCCCGATCACTGTGTGTAGTGCATCCAATATCATCTATATAATGTAATGCATACACACCAAACGCCGAGAAATGCTGCAACTTTTCAGTAACAAGAGCTTTTGGCGATCCAAAAGAGTGACTGGGGAATGACCTCTCAAGAGATTCGGGCAGGGAGTCATGCCTTAATTGGGAAACTTCCAACAGTAGTACCAAATGATGCCAAAAGCAAAAACAAAAGACATCGATAGACATCGGTCATCCCCATCCAACCGGGATACTGTCTGTGAGCGCTCCGTTCGTGGTTTGGCCGACAGCAAATGCTGGTGTGTAATTGCACCAGTTCATCGCTGGACCGAAGCCCGAACGGCTGAAAAACCCTGCAAGTTGAAACACAAAACAATTCTTAGCTCTCTGTTTTTCATGAAGACTTGTCAAATTGCTGGTGGCCTCATATTCTTGTGTCTTTCATCTCTTTTTCACACACCCTGCCCTTCACCTGCGCTCAGCTAGTTCAAACATTTCCACTGGAATTGAGATGGTCATTGACCAAAGTTCCACGGAAAAGCATCTGGCATTTGCTGTGGCAGTTCAGCTCCATGCAAGGACTCTTTAGACTTGTTTGAAAATCCTTTTGAGCCTCAGTGACCATCGGAAAATCAGAGAGCCTGTGGCCTCTATGGCTGCGGTTGGTCTTGCGACTGAAAATCCGCACATCAGACGAGGGTGAGACATGACATGACACGCTCAGCTCACTCTTCCAATGTCTTCCACCTGGGAAATAGGTCGCTTTATTTGGTGGCAGCATTGAAAAAGGTAGATCCTCTGTTTCGTGCTGATCCGTTTAGAAGACTGAAAAAAACTTTTGCTATGCGGCATGCGGTATGCCCCAAGTTCGCCAGTATTGAAGACGTTCGTCAAGGTGAGCGTACTACGGCCCTGGTTGGAAGTCACTGAGCCCCTGAAATTGTGACCTGCCAACCCTAAATAGTCACAACTTCCAACGCCATGTCTTCAAAAAATCAGGGCGCACCTGGAACCCCTGCGAGTTCCCATAAAGAATTTCTTCTGCACATCTTGGCTCTTCTCCGACCTCAAGTTTTACCATCTGCCGATCAATATTGAGCTAATCATATCGTCATACTGGGTCTGAAAAAGGCCGGAAAGAAATGGGAAAATGATGATTAAACTGCATGGTTTGTACTATGTTTGAAGACGCCCCTTAATAACTGAAAACAACCAGAAACTTGCAGTCAGCAAGTCTCAATTTTGGAGCTCTGGACCTGTTCTCTGACCTGCCCCAGATCTGAACACCCATATTTCATGGTCCCCCACAATTTCCCAGGGTTTATAATGCGCAATTTTCCGACTGTTCTTGGTTTCATCCTGTGAAATAGCCAAGTGCATTCAAGTCCAAGGGGCGAATTCCACCACGCCTTGGAAGCAGAAAAACATAAACTTCATCTAATTACATAATTCCAAGTAACAGAACCAAATCAATTCGGAAAGAATGCAACTGCAGCCAAATGGCCAAGAATTCCGGAAAGTGGACTTCTCCATTCCTGGCAACCGTGATCCGGGTGCCGGTCAGCAAGGCAACTTCCGCAAAATATCGTCTCAACATCTGCGGCTTTTCCAATTGGATTTAGGGTTTCCTAACATGGGGGTACCCCCAAATGGTCCCCTCTAATAGGATTTTCCATCATAAACCATCCACTTTGGGGTACCCCCATTTTAGGAAACCTCCATTTGATTCCTTGCTGATCATTGCCACGGATGTCGGATGTCCAAGGCGCTTGTCAGTGTCCATCTCGCTTACCGCCTTTTGCAACTCCGCTTGGGACAAGGGGAAGCCTAGCTCGGCTGCAGCCTAGCGGCAGTTCTCGGAAAATAGGATGCCTCTAGAACCCACTGGTAATCGTGAAAAATTGCCACATTGCAAGGTATACCATGGTATACCTGTTCAGACGCACTCATATATGATTTGATCTGTCAAAAACATATGCAAGGTGGAAAGAAGACTATCATTGTATGGTGGCTGACTTTTGGGATAGATGCTTTGCGGTTCGGTCAGCAAGGTGAATTACCTTGGGCCACGACCCCGGTCCCACGCTCAGAGCTGCCTTGGCGATGCCGCTCTTGGTCAGGGTGCCCTTCTGCTCGACATCGATGTGGTCGAACACATCCTGAAAGCAAAATTGAAATGGTCGAACAAGTCGAACACATACTGTACATTGCCGTGACTCGGCTAAGACTTCACCATGGAACCTGGTTTCAGGTGGATTCTTGTTGCTTCGCAGCCCCGTGCCTTCACGTCTGCAGTGCACGCAGAGCGAAGCAATGCGCCTTCCTTGTTTGGTACCTCGGCCCAAGAGGGGTTGACCTGATAAAGGTGCATTCCACTACTACAGCCGCCAAGTTGCAAACAAAGGCGTTACTCAGCCCACCACCAGTCCACTGTCATGGATGAAACAAAAAGAAAACTGCCACTTGGGATCACAAACTTCATGGTCGGGTCAGTTAAAGTCATGAGCAATGGCATCGCTAAACTGCAGCTGACAAGCTGTCTAGGCCAAGGGGCTAAGGGCAGATGGATTCTATGGATTGTCACTGGATTGTGCTTAATTAAATAAATAGGTCGTCAGACGGTCGTCCTATGTCGTCCCATTCTGCCATGGGGAAGCGAAAGTGCGTAACAACAACGCAGGGTCCGAGTTGCAGGTCCGGCAAAGTCACGCGCCAGCAGCTGTTCAGCCTGCTCGTGTTCTAGCAAGGCACGTTCCGGAGACCAACCCAGGCACTCCTCAGTTCAAAAACCGCAGATCACAACGGATCTCCAGCTGAGATGGAGATATTCTATGGGAAATGACCCGAGTGTTGAGGTTTTATCATGTTTTATCTATAAAAGTGGTGATGTTCCATAGCTATGTGAAATGACCAAAGGGCATCCTCACCCAAATGTGACACCAGCTGTGAAGGACACCCACACGGTCTAACACGAAATTTTCGTCTCAAATCGTCTGATGGGCAAAAAAAGAATGTGAGGTTCGAGGATGTTGCTTCCCAGGTTGGGGCTACCTACTTGGATTAGTAAATCATCATCGTCATCATGTTTGAACTAGCTTCTAGATTGAAGCCGTTGCCATCATCCACCACGACCATTTGAAGTTGAAGCCCAAGTTTTGTTTATAGTAACTTAAAGTATGCGGTTTAGTTGTCCCATTGTGGCAAAATCCTAGGATGATCGCTGTCCTAGTTTGAGAAAACAAACATATCCTGCCAACCCTAAACACACACACTTGCTCAGAACTGTCATTGCGAATTTTGATGTGGAATGCATCTTACGTGCAAAAACAATTCCTTTAAACCTGACAGGAGTAGGTCACTGAAAGGACCTGAAAAACAGTGAAAGTTGCCATCGCCATAGCCAGTGCTCAATGGAGTGAATTGGAAGCTGACCCTTCCCTTTCAACAAAGTGATACCGCTCCCAACTTGACGGATTGCGAAAACCGTTCAATAAGTGACAAAGTGAAAACAAGTTGTTTGAAAACGGCATGGTGGTTCTTGGGTTAGCCACTGCCCATCACAGAAATTTGACATGAAATTTGAAGCAGGTACGTCACTGTGATCAGCCGTGATATCCGCATGTACTGTGGCCGCTTCGTCGGACCATCGCACACAGTACATGGATGGTCCCCCCTGCAAAAATAGAGTAAAAAACCAAAAGGTTAGAAGTTTTACATCTCTTCAGATGGTTCACACACACACACCAGAAACTTAAGAATCCCCGTTTTGTGGCTGATCTCCTATATTTTTTGGGGTCAAACATGAATGTATCCAAGTATACCCCAAAAGATGCCACATAAGGAAAAACAATGTGATTGACCATAATGTTCCGGTCCCAAAACCTCATTTGTTCCCACGGCCTTCATGGGCGATTTCGCTCTGCCGAGCATCGGCCATAATCTCCACCACCCTTGGCAAGCACAATCTCGCTGCAGTGGAGTTCAGAAAGGCCAGGCGTGTTCTTCGCGCCAGGACATCTGCTGGAGACACGGCATATTCGTGATTCACCTCAAAAGTGCGCAAGGTCGCAGACTACAACTGGTTCACCACCTGGGACTTTCGTTGAACTTGGCGGAACTTGGGAAAGTTTCCCTGAAGTGGCAGAAAAAAATGACAAACCACAAAAAATTGGAGGGAAAATCATGAGCAAATGACCTGGAAGTACTATTTTGAATGCGTGAAAAAGTTAGTTGCGGTCTCAAAATCAGAACACCTGCCACCTCCATACTTCTACATACTTCAAAAACAGACGTCAACACTTCACGAGAAGTGACAGCGTAGCGCACTTCCGCTTCCAAGTAAGGATAGCCAGTGGTGGCAGCCGCACCCTCGTACAATCTGCGGTAGTGCTTGTACAGTCCAGAGCGAGAACCTGAACGTGACGGTCATCAGCCCTGACTCGCTGGGTTGAGGGCCAAAAAAATCAGAGGAAATCATGGCAAGTTGGCGGTTTCAAC